GTTTGCAGGACGGAACGATGAGTCAGGGGAGCGGTGTGGCCAGCAACTTGCACCGGCACGCCCAGCCCAGGCAGCCTGGGCACACCCTGCATCCCCCGCCCCTGCATGTGGATGCCATGGGGCATCTCCTGTTTGGCACCAGGCAAGTGGACCACAGCTCTGGGCTGGGGGAAGCCTCCAAATCCAATGAAGCTCCGCATAGTTGGAGCTTCTGGGAGGGGAGGGGGAAGAAAAGAAGCTGCTCAGGTGTGCTTTCATCTGCTGCTGTTATAAAAAAAATCAAAAAACTTAAGAAGAACTTTTAGGGATGTTTGGGGCATGCTTCAGCTGCACAGTCCCTTGGCAGCACAGCCCTGTATGGCAAGTGTCCTTGCCATACCTTTCACACTTCTAGGCCTGTGTCTCTATAGTGCATCTGCCTGGTGCATCCCTATCCAAACCAATTAGACGTTACCAGTAACAGGCAACACCTATGGAATCGCGAAAGAAGCCCCAGTTTTTGCTGTTCACAATGACAATCCCAGGTTTGCTCATCAGCATCACCTTTTTATGCTTCTCCCATCTCGGTCACCTTTCTAAACACAGTTTGACAGCCTGAAGTTACTGAATTGCACAAATAAATCACCTGCTGTTACCCCGGCTGCTCCTCGTGGATGGGCAGGCACACAAGCATCTCTAATAAAAAAAGGCACATAGATTTGCTCTGCGAGACAATTACCACAAATATTGTCGATCTTACATTATATGTGATTGTTTATATAAAGAGAAAGACTCCTTACTTCCTCCTGGAGCCGTTGGGAATTTGGCAGGCTCTGAAAGCAAGTCAGCGGTGTATAGGATAATGCTCCTGGGGTCCAGTGTGCTTAGTGCCATTGCAGGAGATCACATTAGTACTTTTGACATGATCAAACAGAAAGTTCCAGCTGAACAATGAGTTTTTAGGAGGAAAAGTGAAATGCTAAGAAGGTGCGTACGTCTCTGTGAATTTACTTCACTTCACCCGTTGATGTGGCGGCAACAGGACTATTTTTAGGTATAATCCTTCAAACGGAACATGACTTCTCCTTTCTGATTAGTACAAAGCTGGCTGCTAGTCAAAGGATAATTACTTCCCAACACATCACCTAACACACACCAGCAAACAAAACACTTATTATTTGAGCTATCCAGCGTTAACTGTTGTTTAGCAGTTAACATTTTCTTGACAGCTTCAAACAGGACCAATTGCTCCAGCTTCATTAGCAGAGGTCATGTACTGCTGGTAACAATACCTTTCTGGAGATAGGCTCTCCTATAAGATTAGATTATCAGGTCAAATTCTGCTCCCAGTGGCAATGATGCCTGACCGCATTTGGCCTCCAGAAAGTCCACTCTTTCAGTTCATGGCTGCACAATTTCCAGCCCTGCAGCTGATATATTACATAAAGGAAGTAAGTGCACTACAGCTGATGGGAAATTACAATAAATTAGGAAAGTGAGCAGCACAAGGAAGGTTTGCAAAATAGCCACTTAAAGGTTATTAATAAAACTTTGGCTGATAAAGAGGGGGAAAAAAAAAAAACAACAACAAAGAAAAAAGAAAAAAAAAGGTGATAAAGAAGTTGTCCTTATACTTGAAAACACGTCCATACCCCAAAGAGAAAGCAGCATTGGCAGAAGAACTAATCACAAACACCTGGCTAACGCTGTCAAGTGCTGCGTGTCCCACAGGCACAGCACAGATCACAATTTTAAGCCACATTTTTTGCACATACTTTCCTTTGCTCATCAGTGCCTGCTTGGAGCTACAGTCAGGTGATGCCAAGGGTTGTGGTCTCAAAGTGCAGTGAATTTGCAAGACTGCTTTTGTGCAGCTCTCACCAGCCGGGAGATCCCTCAGTAGCCTGCTGTCTGTCTGAAATACCCGTAACTTTGCTGAGCACGTGGAAAACTGAAGCCAGGCTTTCCACCTGAGATATTCCCATTTAAGCACGTGGAGATATGCAGCCTTCTTTTCAGAAGTGCTGAGCAAACACCACTCAGAGCGTGGCCGGCGCCTTTGAGAATCAGGTGTCCACAATGTGGAAGTCTCAGGCACCCTCGCCAGATAATTTTGGTCCTGGCAGACACAGGATTATTTTCTCCCTGTGGATTTCTGTTTTACCTGTGTCTCCCTTCCCTGCAAGCCTGAGACTCTCCTGTTACTCTCCTGCCCACGTACGTGTGCAGCCGCATGCCTACCACCTATACTTTCTTCTCCAACTGCTAATCCACGTCTGGTTTTCGTCAGAAAAAAATATCCACCGTGAGTGTTTGACTCATTGCCTCCAGAGTGTTTCAGCTGCCCCGTAACACTTTTCAGAGTATCCTTCTTCTCTGTGGAGAACAGCCTGTTCCGAGAATGATCCCTGGCAGCCCGCGCCAGCAGCCTCCCCTTCCTCACACACGTGTGTGCCATATGTCCTGCTCTGTCCACACCGATCCTGGGCCACTTTTTTACATCATGTAAGGCAGACCAGCATCTGCCATCCATGCTGCCAGGTGGATTATCTTAGCTGTCTACAAATGGACTCCATATGCCAGGCTCCAGACTCTTCCAGCAGGTCCTCAACTGGCCAAAACTCAATGGCAGATAAATCCTGACCACTTTGCTTACACTGCTGAGCCTCCTGAGGCAAATGGGCAAAAACTCTTCCTACCTTTCACCTTGGCAATGCTGTTACAATCATCCAGGGGAAGCATGACCAAGCACAGTTATTCAGCAGGTTTTTTTTTCAGCAGGAGAAATTGAGCAAGTTCTGGACATAAATTTCCCACCCAAGTCAAACCCTGTAGAGGTAAAACTTTCACCACTTTTAAAACTTTAAGGACATGAGCGTTCAGACAGTTAAAATTAAGTATGTGAGCTGAGTGATGAGACTAAAAGCCAAGTCCACTAGAGTGTCCTACCCCAGACAGTGGGCACCCTGCTTCCCTAGAATCCAGCATCCAAGAGGGGGCTTGACAGCCACTTCAGCTCCCAGCTGGGCACTGGGGCCAGATCCTGCCCTGCTCTACCCAGCAGACAGGGACCACGTCCTGCCCAGGTTCATTGTGAGCCCCAACACACAAGAGGAGGGCAGTGCTGCCTCCCCATCCTGTCCTGACCCCGAAGCACAGCAAACACCTTGCTGCAGTTGCCAGCACCAGACATCACCCATGCACCCTTTTGGTCCTGCTGTCTATACTGGAATTACAGACAAAATCAGATTAAAAATAATAATAATAATAATTGTAAAAAAATATAAAAAATTAAGTCATTTGGTGACAGGTACTTCACTTAGCACCTGCTCTGAAATCACCCCAGCATTTGAAGGAGCCCATTTCACTGTTGTCAAGGGACACACTATTAACTGCAGCTCACATCGAACCCCAGTAACAGCAACAGAAAAGTATTACTTAGTTATTTGGTCCTTTTATTTTGTCCTTGCATAAAAAGCGTAACTTTCTTTTCTTTTCTTTTCTTTTTTTCCCCTGAAAATACAGCATTAGAATTTGCAAAGGACAAATTCCTTAATTTTGAAAACAAATAAAATAAACAAATGGTTTCCAAAACAAACTGTTGGCCACCATTCTTTCTGATCTTTCTGGGAGCTGATTTCTAATTTAACTATACTTCTGAGTTTAATAAAGCTAAAAATGACTTCACTTGTATTCTGCACTGCCTTTTTGTTGCCCTGTCTGCCATGTATTCATTGCAGTAATGAAAAACTTTATGAAACCACAAGGATACAGCATACCTTCATAAAGCAATAAAGCAAGATCTTTTGGACCCAGGATGCAAATCTGCAGCCTTTCTGCTCATGGCACCTTGTTCCTTGGATCAGTCCACAATATAACACTCAGTTCTCACACTCTGGCCCCCAAGGAGTGTGTGACTGTCAGCAGCACACTGAAGCCACACTGCACGTGACCATCAGCTTTATGATCTACAAACCAGATGGTTTTACTTCACCCAGTGACACAGAAGATGTTTCAGCAGTGTTTAAGTCTGCCCCAGAGTCCCATCCTGCTCCAGTTATGCCCGAGATGTTTCCTTGAAGGTTAACTCCTTTTTTATAGGAAAAGAGAACCAAAGTCTGGACTCCTGCAATTGGCTCCCTGGCTGACATCTCCCCATACAGGGCATGAACCCCCTCCTGCTGCTTTTCAGGCAGGGGCCTCCCCTGACCTCCATGCTCAGCACCCCCCCCCACAGCTTGCTTAGGCAGGATCAGTCCCACTGTCAGCACCAGGAGGACTGACTTGTAGAGTGGCATGTACCCCATATGGAGACTTCCTTCTACTCAAGACCATTTTTAGCTTTCAAATTCAACAACCTCGGTAATCTTAAATATTCTGGCCTCCTGACTCCCAGCTGTGTATTCCTAAAAAAATGTACATATATATATATATATATATATATATTCCAGAGAGGAATGGTTACAGAAAACAAGTATATTAATTATCAGAGTGGAAACACCTTGTCTTCAGCCATTAATTGTAAGGGAAGTCAGCAGACCTCAATGAAGGAGGAACACAACCTTACTGGGTTTCAAACACACTTTTTACAATACTGTGTCAGGAAAAGCCATTAGATTAGAGTTAGTTGTAATGGCAATCTGAACCATCTTCAGAAAAAACAAATGCTGTTCTTCCCATTACAAGCAGGTATTGTTTCAAAACCTATAGAGACACGCTTGTTTGTGCTGCAATGGTATTTATTGCACATAGACCAATTACTTACACAGTAGTAAATTGCACCAGAGTATAAATACGTTATAAAACACACAGAGAGGAAAATGGAAACGACACACAAGTGCTAAAGTAACATCAGATTCACGTGGGCACTTGGAAATAAAAATAATAGAACTCCCTTAAGATATTTTAATTTATAATATGGATATATTTACAGTACCTTCATAAAATAATATTAAAAATTCACTCTCTCAATAAAACTATAACAGATCAGACAAAACCAAAAATCAGTTTCAGGGTCAGTGTTACTCAAACTTCCATTTCATTTTTGATTGGCAAGGGTGTACGTTTGTGCAAGTAACATCTTCAAATAACTTTACAACTCTTAACACTGTGCAAAAAAAACCCAAAAAACAGCTTTGTCGCCATTTTTCAAAAAAATGTGCAGCAAATTTTTGTTGTTGCCAGGATTTCTCCCCCCTCCCCCCCCTACCCCCCGTTCATCTGTAGTTACAATGAACAATCTGCAGAAGGCTCCTCGCCCCCCACCCCCCCTCCTACCTTTTTCATAAAACACTATCAGCGGTACGTAAATATGCTGTTTAATATAAACATGGTCCGTTTATTCCCCTGTACAATATGCACAGTTTGAGGTAGAAGTTTCCCAAGCCTGACTGCTATTGTCTGGCCGAAGGAGATAAGCACAGTAACTCACTGCTCGCTGATGCGGAGGGGAAAAAGCACAAGAGCGTGGCTGTGCGTGTGTGTGTGCGGGGGGGGGTTTAACCCCCTTTCAAAATACCCCTGTGCTCCTCATTCCTCACTGCTTTTCTCCACCGCTACTCTGCGGCACAGGGCAGCGCAGCTTAAACCTCCCCCCGCCCGCGGGTCCCTGCACCCCCCGCCTGCTACACCTGCAGCCC